CTCGGGTTTGAATTTAAGATTCGCCCTCGACTACAACATTGCCACCAGCAACTAGCACAAATCGTCCAAATCTTCCGGACACCAAAAACAACAGCAACGGGTACCGTGCAAACATCCGATATCTTAAACATCCGAAAACCGAAAAGATAAAAAAAAACTTTGCAGACATCCAAAAAAACAACAACTTTACAAGCGACATTTTTTCCCCAAAAAGTATTTATTTTCTACCGTTCAAATGTTACTTGGAAACAGCTTAAGTGATTCATGTCCCAATTTGTGAACAATGTCTTGTTTTTGAACTTCTTACATTATATTATTGCGTAGTTGTTATGTAAGTTCAGATATTCGACCTAATGGATGTTCGACTTATCGGATGTTTGAATTAGACCCAGTAGTGACATCGATCAAAGCAGATTTGTGTACCGATACAGAAACAAACAACCAGGTCAGATCCACATCATCATCAAAAGTGGAATCAGCACCAGCCTTCAAGTTCAACTGTGGCTGATTGTGATTATGGGTCTTCTTATTTTGATCACGTTTTCATAAACTTATTACAAAATTATAAATCAGATTTCGTGATTTGTTGATAAAATTTCCAAGACTTTGATAGTTAATAAATTCGGTGTTTTTAAATTGAGCGGCAAAGTTAATTTCTAGCGGATCATGATATTGGGTGGCTTTGATTGAAAAGATGATTGATTATTGCTACCGCAGTTAGAAAACCAGCTGACAAGACTTCAAATCTTGAAATAAATTTATTTCAAAGTTTAATTACACTTTAAATGGTGAGCAAAAAATCAAATGAGTTTGATGCGATTCAAATCAGCAAGTTTTTACGGGCAATTCTTCAGAATAAACTTAAAAACATCCTTCAAAACATGCTGAGAAAAGTTTATCAGTGAAAAGGTAATCTAAAACCGGAAAACTATGATCTGTGAGATCTGAATTAAAGTTGAAAAACATCTCGCAAAGTCAAGGCTTTTTTGTATAATCCCAATTTTAGCCAAGACTTATTTTTGCTAAATTTAATGGGTAAAATCTTTTTGAAACACTGATACTTATTTACTAGTTGAATATTTAAAAAAAAAACGATTTTTTTTCTGGAAGTTTTTTTAGGCAAATTTAATCACGAATAAACGGGCTTCAAAATTATTCATCACTTAAATTTCGTCAGATTTTTAGATGTAGCGGATTTAGGGGAACGGGGGTTGGCGGACGCCCTACTCCATTCAGGGATCCGACCCCCTGCCGACCCCAAGGATCCCCCTTTCTACTAATTTGATATATTCATTGTTGGTGAAATACCCGTAAAAATGTCTGAAACTTTGAGGAGCAAGCGTGCGCCGAAAAAGCGCGATTTTATAGTCAAATTTTTCCAAAAACTGCCTAAAAATGCTTTTTAGGCCTCTTTTTTATGGGGACAGCTCGGAAAATCAACTTTTGGTCGACCTGAAAACAGTCGACAAAACTTTCGAAACTTTTTTGAAAATCCTCCATCCGCCCCTGGATGAAGTCATTTTTGTGCTAATAAAAACACGTCAGACTCTAAAAACTCTCCTCTATATCCGTGGTAGGATAAAAAACCAATCGTATTGATAAATACAGTTGAACAATAAATTTTTGATTGTTTTTTTTGGATTTTGAAAATAGAAGTTTTCTTCTAACAAGTTTGGCTAATTTATTTATTTGCATTTAAATTAAATTTATGCGCAAATGTTTTGTGAACTTTTTAGTAACGTTTTTGGTGAAAACGTAGCTTACTTGTAGGTCTAATGAAAAATATAACAAAGTTATAAAATTTTCTCACAAAAATTTGGGGAAACTGAAAATTTCCAACGCAATTCGATGTCTTAAGTTTTCTGGAAGAAATTTTATGCCTTGGGTGCCAGAGGAAAACCGCTGCAAACTCATGTTGTCTCATTTGGCTAATTTATTGAAGTCAGGACCAAACATACTATAAAAAAGCTCCCATGGCAAAAGATATTGTAGCAAAAGATCCCATATACTAAAATAGCCTAAAACAAAAGGTCCCATGCAAATTAAAAGATCCCTCAAGGTATGAACAAAAAACAATAAATTATGAACAAACTATAATTTTAACCATTATCTAAAATTCTGCTTTCATTATCTCTTTTTCTAATTCATTGAATAGTGAAAAACGAGATCTTTTTTCCGGATTTTCAAAAAAGCACGATATATAGGCAACAACGCACTGGCGCTGCAGCAAATAGAGATCAATTAAGTGCCCAAAAATTATTACCATGGATGCAAAATAATTTCAAGCAGCAACGATCATAGCCACGAACACAACGCAGGAAGCTCAGAAGCTCGACAGATAGTTTAGCAAACGAAGGAGACAGTCAGAAATTAAATAAATCCGGTAGGCAGTGAGAACATCGCAGCTATTTTACTATTAGAAAAAGACTACAAGGCAAACCAACTGTCATTGCCATTCCGGTCGGCGATAACGCGAACTTTAACCAGAAGTAAACCAACAACATGTCTGCCCACTATTGCTACAAATTACCGTCATTTCCAAATACCGGATCGTTTTCAGCAATTTTTGTATTTTTGATAGCGGAATACAAGCTAAAAGGCGTTTTCTTCAACCCTTATTGTAGACGAAAAACTTTTTTTTTCTTGGTTGTTATTAACTGATTTGAGTTTAATTTGAATTGGCGACTCTTCTTGTAGCATTTACTTCTAGTTCTATCTAGGAGTAACTCATTTGGAGCTAGTTAAATTATCAATTTTTTTTCAAACCCACTCACATAAGAAAATTCTTCCGTACGCGACTTATCAGAGCGCCAGAGAAATGTTTTCAGTTGTTGTTCGGAGCAATTTAAAAAAACAGCCCTATTTGCTTCAAAGAAATCAAAGAATGACGGTAGAAAAAAACGCTGATCTCACCGGCGATAAGTCAGTATATTGCAGTCCTGAAAAATAACGTAAGTTCATTTTTTTATCAGTATCAAATTATTGCTAATTGCGGGGGGGGGGGGTGGGAAGTTACTTATCACATCCTACTTTTTCCGCTAAAACTATAGTGCTTCTAACTCGCGCTTTTTGAACCTTATTTTAAATATCCGACTCTTTTTCAAAATTTTGTGAATGGTCTTAAAATATTTTTCTTAAAAAAATAAAACAAAAAAATTGAAATCCCCCATCCTATCAGCGGATTTGGGGGGTGTGGGTGGGACTGCGCGGGGGGGGGGGGGGGGGGGGGTTGGACGCGTCCTCACTCAGGAATTCGAGCCTTTGGTGACCCAATGCCCCCCTCTGTACTATTTTGAGACAAGCATTTTTTTGTGATTGACCTTAAAATTTTTCTAAAGGCGCTTTTGGCGCCAATATAAACTAATTTTGAGCAAGCAAGAGCGCGATTTTTTGTCACAATTTCCCAGGAAGTCCCTAGAAATGCCAGTTTTAGATTTTTTTTTCGAAAATTTGCCTGTGGTGTAGAATATTTGGTCAAAATAGGGTCGCTATAGTGATTTGAGAGAGATCAGAAAATCAATTTGGTCGACCTAAAAACAGTCGACAATATTTTCGAAACTTTTTTGAAAATCCTCCATCCGCCTCTGGATGTAGCCATTTTTGTGCTAATAAAAACATGTCCGACTCTAAAAATTCTCTTCTTTATCCGTGGTGGGATAAATAACCAATCGTATTGATAAATAAAGTTGAACAATAAACTTTTGATAGTTTTTTTTCGGATTTTGAAAATAGAAATTTTCTTTTAACAAGTTTAGAAAATTTATTTATTTGCATTTAAATCAAATTTATGTGCAAATGTTTCGTAAATTTTTTGGTAATGTTTTTGGTGAAAACGTAGCTTACGTGTAGGTCTATTGAAAAATATAACAAAGTAATTAAAGTTTTCTCACAAAAATTTGGGGAAACTGAAAATTTCTAGCGCAATTCAACGTCTAAAGTTTTCTGGAAGAAATTTGAAACCTTGTGTGCCAGAGGAAAACCGCTGCAAATTCATGTTGTCTCATTTGGCTGATTTATTGAAGTCAGGAGAAAATATACCATAAAAAAGCTCCCATTACAAAAGATTTTGTAGCAAAAGATCCCATATACTAAAATAGCCCAAACCAAAAGGTCCCATGCAAATTAAATGATCCCTTGAAGTATGAACAAAAAACAATAATTTATGAACAAACTAAAATTTTAACCATTATCTAAAATTCTGCTTTCATTATCTCTTTTTCTAATTCGTTGAATAGTCAAAAACGAAATCTGTTTTGAGGAAATTCACAAAAAGTGCCAAAAAAGCGCGAGAAAGCGCGATTTTTTGTTCAAAATTTTCTAGAAAGTCCCTAGAAATGCCTTTTTTGGATTTATTTTTTCAAAAATTTGCCTGCGGCGTAGAAAGTTTGGTCAAAATAGGGTCTCTATAGTTATTTGGTCGACCTTAAAAACAAAAAAAGGTCGACAAAATTTTCGACATTTTTTTGTTCAAAGTCCAAAAATTTGTGACATTTAGTGTCATTTACGTGTCATGTATCTATGAGCTTTATTTGAGTTCGTCAAAGTCGGGCTAACAAACCTTTAGCTAGTCAATAGTTCCTGCAGGTAACTTTCAGTGGCGCGGTTGCAACAAAAATAGACCAATAGTGTAAGCTTTTGTTTGAAAACACCATGGTGTCAATTTTTATTAAAGATGCATTCTGTTTCAAGATATGCGAAAGGGTAGAGAATCGAATTAAAGGGAAAACTGGAAAAAGATACAAACTAATCCATCAACATTCAAGTAAGCTGTTAACTCGGACCAAGTTAATATCCTCCCCCCCCCTAAATCCAAACCTAAAACCAAATTAAGATCCCCCAAACGGCTTGTTTGGGGGGAAACAAGCCGTTTGGGGGATCTTAATTTGGTTTTAGGTTTGGATTTTTCAGCCAATCAGAATCGAGCATTTTACATGCAGCGCTTACCAAATTTAAATTAAATTAAGCTCTGGGGTGGAGGATCTTAACTTGGTCTGGTCTATTTTGGGGGGAGGATGTTAACTTGATCCGTTAACTCGTTCACACTCCTGTGTTGGCGACTCTCGTTGCCGCCGCAGCGGAAGTTCCCTCAACTGATTTCTGACTGGCCGCAGATGAGTCACTGTTGAAGCAGCAGGGGAGAAGTTTCTGTCCCCACATTCGGTAGGCTGTCCTCATTCCCCGATGGGTGAATCCGTACACCACGAAGTTGAAGCTGGAGTTCACGTGGGCCCACAGTTCAATCGACACATATAGCTCTGAATTTGCAAAATACAAAAAAATTGAAACAATATTTGAAATTTTTCATTTTCTTATTACGTTTAAATTATTACGGTTCCTAAATTCGACCGTTGTTGTTTCGAAGCTTTCCGGACTATCAAATAATTATAGCAACCAACTCAAAAAAATGTTAAAGTTTTTATAAAGATGAATTTTTTAAAAGAATTCATGGTAAAATTTGCCCATCTTTTGTTCCGAGAGTGTAACTTTTTTCAAAGCGGCTTAAAAAGCTTCATCAATTTATGCTAAAATAATAACAAGAAAGTTCCAGGTTAAATTTTCATTTGCATAGATCTTTTATGAGTTATTTTTGTCTGCCAGGCTCTGAAAATATTTTCTCTTAATGTCTTCACTTCTGAGCTCATTAGAAAAGATGATACTTAAGATTTTGTAATTTTAAAAATGTCAATTCAATTTAATACAGTCCGAGGAAATGGTTAAAAAAATGTGAGGTGTCTGCGTGAAAATATTTTCGCTGCTTTTTGTCGGTGCAAGCTTATAGACAGACAATTAGTTGAAAGTCAAGACTACTTCAAGTCGATAACATTTTGTAACACTCAAAAAGAAAGAGCCCATTTTTCTAGACAGTGAATAGCATTTTCGTGAGGAGTGGTACGTTATTTGCAAAATTTTTACTTGAGGTGAGCTTTTTACGGTGATAAACAAAATCTAGGGAGACAAAGTTCTATAATAACTTCACAAGAAATATGATTGAAAGATATTTAAGTTTCAAAAAATTGAAAAAAAAAACATTTTGAAAAAAAATCTTTAATCAATTGTAACACTATTCAGGACTACTAACGAGTACTTTAACTTCATTAACATCTATAACAAACTTCATTTCAAATATGATTGGAGATTTGTAGTTTCAAAATTTTTTATATTTCTAAAAAAAATTCAAAATTCATTTGTCATCAATCGTAACGCAGGGATTGGTCCAAACAAAGATTAACAAAAGTGATTTTAACTAAGAATACAGAAAAAAAAGTCGGGTTTATATATAGAAGATATTCTTGTGACTGAAAGCACGCGCTTTAGAGTTTCATGGAAAATAATCGATTATAATGGATTATATCGCCAAAAAACTAAACCCATAAAATCGGTTTTCATGACCCATCTAACTATAAAAATAGATTTTTAGGGTATTATATTCGATTTTTTTCAGCAATCAAAAATCTATATAATCTTTGGTAATCAATTAAAAACCATATTTGTCTTCGATATAAATCGATATACTATTTTTTGTTCAAAGTCCATGAAAACCGTTTTTTTTTGCAAATGTTTTTGATGAAGTGTTTGCGCATGTGCATTGAAATTTTATCTGAACCAAAAAATGAGATAATTTGATTAGAAACAACTTTTTCCTCAATAGCTGATAAGAGAATTAATTCAACTAGGATTCAAAAAAAAATTTCTGATAAGCGAATCGTAATGAATCGTAATGAGTTTGAAATGAATCGTATTTTTCATATATTTCTAAGTTTTAAGTTATAACCGGAAAATGAACTTTTCAGCCAAAATCACAAAAAAGTTGTTGCATTTTCCCGTTGCACGATCAAACAAGTGTCTCCAGTTTTGATTTAGTTGTAGAATTCAGTAATTTTCAAATTAAATTGCTCCGATGATTACGATCTTAAATATTAGAATTAAGAGACGAATAATTCGGAGTATGGTTAATACAATCAAAGCATTTTTTCTAGGAAAAACTTGATTGAAGGAGTGACAAAAAAATTATTTGAGCAGCAGTAACTAAGCTAAGCAACAAAGAAAAAATTTTAGAAACAAATGGAATTACCATCAAGGCCTAATTAAACTTCTCAAAAAATGAATTGTATTTGATTACACAAATTCAAAATTTAAGAGTAAAGCAAAACTGAGAGAAAGTTTTAAGCCAGCACGAAGTGATGCCGCAAAACTTCTCTGCGAGAAAGCCCGCATTTTTTCTACATAAAAAAATCATACTTTAGTGAACTTGCGTATACATTTAGAGACTTACTACAAGGGAGGCATGAATTGATACCGTCGAATCTATATTTCTACGAGTGGATCATTCAAAATTGTTTTTCATATGTAACAAACAACCATATTTTTGGATTTCGCCTATTATTTTACGTTTATATAATTTATACAAAATTACCTTAAACACGAGTCTCCTAAATCGATCGCAGCCAAATATGCAGAATCCGCGACCAAGTTCTCGAAATCCAAATTGTTTTGTAGAAGGCAAAATAAATAAAAAATCATTGTATTCTGGATTACAATTTTGTGGAATTTATGTGTATTTATACAAATTTACCATGCACACTAATCACTCAAATCTATCGCAACCAAATTTGCAGAACCCGGAAAATTTTTTGATGATTCCGGAACAGCTCGTAGAATCCGAAACAAGTATACAAGCTGTTTACTCTAGGCTGCAGATTTGGAGAATTTGTTCGAGTTTGCGATATCCGGTTACGATTTGCGGAATCCATTTACATCATTAGATTATACTTTAAAATTTTGCAATATTCAATTACATTTGCAGTTTACGCTTACAAATGGCAGAATCCGCTTAAATTTGCGGAATCTGGAACAACTAGCTATACTCGCTCGTTGTGGAATCCACGACACTACTAATTTTTACTTTTTTGGCGAAGCTTTTTTTCAAAATTAGTATCTATTAGCACCGAAGACACCATTTGAAACTTTTTAAGATTAGTCGGCCAAAAATTGATTTGTAAAATAATGAAAAAGAAGGCGTGAATATTTAGGTGAAAGGGGTCAAATAGTTGAGAAACGGGCGTCCGCTCCCTTAAGTTTTAATGAATTACTTGCAATTATGCGGTCTGGGTTGGATAACCTTCGGGAATGTATACGTGGGGTTACCTTCGCCCCCGTAAGTTTGAAAGATTAAGCATTGTAACTGTGCCGCTCGGGTTGGGTTACCTTCGGGAACGTATGCGGCGTATTTGTTGTCGACGCCGACTGCGAATATGATGACAGCGAGGGGCAGCCAGGTGATGAGACAGACGAAGAAAATGAGAAGGAGAGAGATGACGAGCTGCTTCTGCTCTCGCTGACGACGCTCACTCTTCGCCACCGCACCTGGAAGTTTGGGAAATATACAAAACGAGAGAAAAAGGAACGTTCATAAAATCAAAACTAATCTTAAACTTTGAAAATATAAAAAAGAAGCAAGAGTAGGCGCAGGGGCGGATCTAGGATTATCTCGAGGGGGGGGGGGGGCGGATTTTTAAAAAATTTTCGAAAAGTTTGACGACCTTTTTTTTTAGGTCGACCAAATTGATTTTTTGAGCTCTCCCAAAGCACTGTTTTGCCCCTATTTTGGCAAAGTTTTCTCCGCCGCAGGAAAATTTTTGAAAAACAGTCAAAAAAGCCGTTTTTGGGCATTTTTTGAAAAATTTTGACAAAAAAATCGCGTTTTTTTGGCGCGCGCTCCCCCTCAAAAAATAATTAATATTGGCGCCTAAGGCGCCCTTAGAAAAAATTTTAGGGTCGGTAGGCCAAAAATGGATTTATTAAAAGGTATCAAAGGGGGGACCCTTTGGGTCGGCAGGGGGTCGAATCCCTTAGGGGGAAGAAAGCGTCCGCCCACCAAACCCCCCCCCCCCCCTAAATCCGCCCTGAGTAGGCGGCTGCTCTGCAAGCAGCAACAAAATTTCCGACCCAATTTTTTCAAAAAAAAACTTTAAAAAAATCTTATTTTTCAAAATTGTGTTTTTTTGGCCCTTCTGTGATGAGGGGAACGCAGGATGCTTATAAAATTATCAAAAAGGTCAATTCTGGCTATGGTTTTTTCGAAAAATAAAAATTAAAACAAAAACTATATTCAAAAAGTTTGCGTGGTGTGTGATGTGTTCACCTGAAGATGCGGCTTTGGTCCATATTTTGTAGTAGCAGAAGGGGATGAGGAGGAGGGGGAGGAGGAGGGCGACCACAGTGTACAACAGAGTATTCACCCACCAAGTGTTCTCCAGGGTGAAGCTGCAGTGGATCAGGGGCGCCTAGAACAGGGGGGGGGGATAGGGAGGTGTCAGGTCAGAGCACAAGACTTTTTGAATTTTTCAGGCGGACGACTTTTCAGTATTCCTCAAAGTATTTCGAAAAATTATCCAAATGTGCCAAAAGACTTTAATTGAGCATTTTTAATACATATGCTTAGTGCCGCAGCGGCTGAAAACTGATTGTAGTGATTAACATAAAGCTTGATTAATTGTTTGTTGTTGATCTTAACACTCAAAAATTCTTAATAATTTTTAAGAGAACAAACTTAGTGCATAAAACCCTCAAATTTTGGAAAAAAAATTTCAGATCTTTACTTAGAAAACCCTCGAATTCCAAGAAAGTATTCAACTTTTAAGTGCGTATAATCTTTGGAATTGTCGAGGATTTTTCCGATATTGCAAACTTTTGAAGGATTTGACAAAAAGTGCAAAGAATAAGACTATAATCTGGGCGACATTGAAAAGCAACTGCAAAATACCGATGAACCAAATAAAACTTCAACCTTCACTTTATAAAAATTTGCAAAAAATTATATGCTTTCTCTACAAAATGGCACCCAAATTTGACAACTGGCCATGACTTGATTAATTTTTAGAAAAAAAAACGTTGGGCCAGTTTAAGGTGAAAAATGGCCTATGTTTTAGCCGATTCAATTCATAGAACTAACTATAGTGCCGTAATTTATTCTCAGATCTGGGACATTTTTTCATCTGTTAGGTCAATAAAGTAAATAAAACTAAAGGATGAGCAAGAAACTTAAGGTTTTTGTTTCATGGTAAGTCAATGGTAAAAGTTTTTGCACACTACACCGTTGGAGGAACTACCCAAAATATCATTGTTTCGGCTACAACTCCTGATAAACAACTAAAATCAACAACTGATTGAACGAAACTTTGGAAATGTTTTTGAGGAGAATAATGAACGAAACAGTAATTTTTGGTGCACTGGAAGCCAAGTTCCAAAAAAAGAAGAGAGGAATTATAACTGTTCCATTTTCTAGCTTGAAGCTAGATATCAGCATTCTTTGAGAATGTTTTAATATTTTGTTCTCAATTGCCTAGTTTTTCAGGTAGTCTCTAATATGGCTCCTTTCAAATTCAGTGTTTTTGAAACTTGGAGGAAACTTGGCTAATTTTGATTTTATTTTGTCTGTAACAACTAAAATGCACTGAACATAGTCAAAAAGAGTTGCATCTTTAATTTTTGCTAAAAAGGAGTCTGTGGAAAGAAGTTTTTTTTGAAAATGAGTTCTGAGATGGTTTCCCACCACTCAGACTCCCATATTTCTTCAACTTTGTATCCTTTCTCTTTAGTGCACTCCCGTTTCATGTCATCCATTCCTCTATTCTTATTAACTCGCTCAATATCCTGATCTGTTAAGGAGGGTCGACCTTTTTTACAGGAGCAACAGTGATGGTAACCGTTCACAAAAAAACGGTAGATTTTCTTTTATTTTTCAGATTTGAAAAAGCTCTCAATTTTGCATTCTGGTCTTTGTTCCAAATTCTCAAAATTGAATATCGGTGTCAAATCCGATCTCGAGTACAGTCTTGTTGGCACATCTTTCAACATTGAGTAAAGCTGGCTTGCATCAGTTCCAAGTTGGTTGAAGCTGCATCAATTCCAACGATTCATTTACATAAAATTGATGACTTTCATGAAAAATCTCATCAACTACAGACCATCGATCATTTCTTCTAGTGTTTTTCATATAAATCTTTATCACTTTCGCAAAACGGATAAAGTTTTTAATTTGTAGATTTGTGCAGACATATGTTTGCTAGGTTTGGAAGTGTGTATCCAAGTTTCATCATTTTAATTGCTGGGTTATGATGAAATTGAGTCGCTTTCTGCATAGCTTCCGGGTTTGGAGCGACATCGTTGTTCTTGTAGTTGTACCACTGCAAAAAGTCTTTGAACGCAGTCATTCTGTTTTTCTGCCAAGTATCCTAACCGGATGGAAGTTAAGTCTTGATTTGAAGCTTTTTCATTGGTTGTTGCTCATCAAGCCCACTCTTACTCAGTTTCTCATGATTTTTTCATTCTTTGTCTACAGGATTTTTATTTCTAAGTTTACTGAAAAGGCTTCATACGGTGGCAATTTAGGAAATCAAGTTTGTCTGGGTTGTCAAACCACTCATAGGAGGAGAATTTTTTCGTTTCGCTAATTTTACATGCTTTAAGAAACGAGTCCAGAGTTATTGCTTCACCCAGAATTTTCTTTATGTCAAGAAATCGTACATCTTTGAACTTGAAAGATATAAAAACGGTTCCTTTTTTTACTGACTGATGTCTCTTGTTCTTTATTGCGAAACAAATAAGGGATTAAGCATCAAGCTCAATTTATAACTACCACTGTTGATTCCAAAAACAGGTTCAGTATTCACATATCTCTCCGGATATTGTTTCAAATCAATGATTTGATTTTTCTGAAATCGCGAAAGTTGTGTTGACATCTTTGCTTCTTTCAAATCTTCAGTGCATTCATCTTCTGACTCAAATTTGTTACTTAACTAGTTTTTACCTCATTTGTTCAGCTGATCAAAAAACTTTTCCATTGGTTCATTGTTGGCTAATTCAATTTCTTGAAATTATGTTCTCATCTCCAGCATACTTTGTTCAGTCAACAGATAGAGGTAGCTAAAAAAAAATTAAAAATCAAGTTCGATTGATCTTTTTTGTAGAAAAAGATGGGTTTTCCAATCAAACTCGATGATATAGAGACGGAAACTTGAACATGATTTCAATCCAGGTGGTAGTTTGTGTTTCTTTTACTTCCTCTGTAGGAACGCAAACTGACTCAAAACTGAAAATTGCTAAATTATTAAAAAGTTTGTTTGCTTCAGAAACTGCAAGACTGAATCCTTCTAGTTTTCCAAACAAGGTTACGCGAAGTTCATACACGTTCTTCGGGCAAACAAGTTCTGCCGGTTAGGAGATGTTTTTGAAGTGATCTGATCTGTGGAAAAAAGTTTCATAACTAGGGCATCGAAAACACTTGAAGAAATTATCTAAATGAATCCTACGAGTGTTGAAGCTACGTGGTATGACCGTTTATCAAATCTTCCAATACTTCGCTGAGCTAGTTCTTCTACATACTTTTCTTGTTGGATATCGCAATCCTATAAAAAAAATGTTTTTTTTTGCACAATTTTCTCGACAACAGTTAAGTGTTCAAGGAAAACTTCACGAAGGTTTTACGATCTTGACCAGACTTTGATATAAATTTGTAAAGTATCTAAAAATTTGAGATTTGAGATCATTGAGTCCGTACATGTACGTGGCTAATGCTAGAAAAGGACAAAAAATACCTTTGTATGGTTCCTGGTCTTGATTGGTTAACAGAAAGTTCAATTGCGTATGTGATTGTAAAAGCTCAACTAAGACAAAGTCCGGACATCCATTTGAGATGTTTTTAAGCAAAGTTGCAAAAATTGTAACGTTAATGATCAACTTGAATCTCTTGATTGTGTTTGACGTTTCTTGGCACATTGCACCTTAAAAACATATTTTTCGACTTTCCGGTGAACTGTTATCAAGTCTTCCTTAGCAAACACCAAATGAAATTTTTCGAACAAATTTTTTTTTCATGGGCGTAGCAATATCGATATGTATCAATCTCAAAATATCAAACAACAAACCCTAGACCAATGTTGATTTTAGCGGTAGAATTATTTGAAATTGAATAATTTAGTATCTAACTTTGACAGACGGAAGTTAAAAACTTTTGTCTTCCAAATTCTATCTCCTTATCCAGCAAAAAGTGTTGACAAGCACAGAAAAATGTTGACAAGTTCTTTCAGTGTCTCGCCATCCTCCCTTTATTCCTCCTTAATCTTTTTCAGGTCGGCCACCGAATCATAAGCTCCATGCTATTTTCTTTAATATTGTTGGAGAGAGTAGTAACTTGGGAACTCTTGTTCACGAGAAGAACAAACCGTCGACTGATTAAAAATTAGCTTCATGGCCAAATCAAAATCCATCTCCTCTTTGCTCTCTGTATAAAAATACAGTTCGGACCTTTTGCTTTTCAAGTTTCATTTGTTGAACTTTAAACTTAAAGTACCAATTGAAAAAAATGAGAAAAAAACGAGAAAAAAACTTAGTTTTTTTCTTTTCGCGAAGCAACGAATTGTAAAAACTGAAGCAAATTTGAATTGAAAATTTCAGATTTGCAAATGAAATTAATGACTCAATCTAATTAAAAAATTCTATTTTTACTAACAGTGACGTCATCGCCTACGAAATATCCTTTTATGGCCATGACTTTATTTCTTCTTTATGAATGACTTCAACATCTACGCAAAACTTATTTTTGCGGAATTGACGTCAACCTTTATATCGAAGTGACGTCACCGCCCGCGCTGATTTTTTATGGTAATGACGTCTTTGCCTACGAACAATACCATTTATGACGAAAATTCCAGTGTTTTCCAGAAAATTTTTCGACCAATCAGAACTCAGCAGTTTTTAGACACAACGTTGAATTAAATATGATCATTATTTGATAAATGTCAGATAAAAACAGTTTGATGAGTTATTCTAAAATAAAAAAGACAAAAATTTCCGTGTGATTTTCTCATTCATGAAATAGATCTGGATTCATACTTTTTTCACAATTTTTTAGAGACATTCGTATTGTCCAAAATAGAGCTCTACGACTGAGTAGGGGCTTATTTGAGAAATTCACTCAAGAGTTCAATTTTATACCGTGTTTTGACCATCAAAGATTTAAACTTACAGCCAAATTACACCCGACATGAAAAAAAAAACATATTTTTTTAAGAAAAATTGCAATTAATCAAAAGATCGTGTCATAAAACTTCAAAGACTCTTTTCATTTCCTAACCAATTCCTAAAATTGTCAAATCTCCCTGCAAAAGTTTTGTTTCCCTCATTTTTTTCGAAATTTTCAAAATTCAAATTTTGTTTGATTAAGTTTGGAAAAAAATTTCCAGAGATTTGCTTTGAAACTTTAATCAATTTTGAGCTATTCTCT